CACAGTCATCCTTGCAGAAGGGCTTTGAATCTGAGTTTTCAAAAGCTCCAGAAATCCTCTCTCTGCCTCCCAGAGCACCAACATCTCTGGATGTGGCCTTCAGAAAATTTGCCAGTTGAGACAGGATCACAGTCCTGTAAGCTGAAGCCTTGAAGTTCTGACATGGAATGGGGAGGAAAGGGAGTGAACTCCCTTCATGGCCCTCTTGATCTGCAGAAAGATGTTGAGGCTGTTTTAGAGTGAATGGGAAGGGGAAGGAAATACTGCAGATTTTGTAACTGAGAGTCACAGAATCATCTTGGTTGCAAAAGATCTTTAAGGTCATGGAGTCCAACAGTTGAAGATGCTCTGAGGGATGGAGCCCCTTTGCTGTGAGGCCAGGCTGAGAGATTGGGTTGTTCAGCCTGGAGAAAGCAAGGTTTGAACCCTTCATCATCTGGGGAGACCTTCTTGAAGCCTTCATTATCTGGAGGGGCACTACAAGAAAGCTGGGAAGGGACTTCTTGCAGGGTCTTCTAGTGACAGGATGAGGGGTTATGCTTTTAAACTGGAAGAGGGGAGATTTAGATGAGAAATTAGGAAGAAGTTCTTCACTATGAGGGTTGTGAGACACTGGCACAGGTTGCCCAGGGTAGCTGCAGGTTGTCCATCACTGGAGGTGTTCAAGGCCAGGTTAGATGGGGCTTTGAGAAGCCTCATAGAGGGGTCTTTGAGAAGCCTCATCTGGTGGGAGGTGTCCCTGCCCATGGCAGGGGGGTTCAGACTAGCTGATCTTTAGGTCCCTTCCAGCCAAAGCTGTTCAATGATTCTGTGATTCCCCCATCCCTGCCAGGGCCCCACTGCCCCGTGTCCCTCACCCCACATCTCCACGGCTTGGAAACCCCTCCAGGGGTGTGGACTCCACCACTGCCCTGGGCAGCCTGGCACAGGCCTCCACAGCCCTCCAGGGCAAGAAATTGTTCCTCAGGGGCAACCTCAACCTCCCCTGGGGCAACTTGAGGCCCTTTCCTCTGGTCCTGTCCCTTGTCCCTTGGGAGCAGAGCCCGACCCCCCCCTGGCTCCAGGCTCCTGTCAGGAGCTGTGCAGAGCCAGAAGGTCTCCCCTGAGCCTCCTTTGCTCCAGGCTCAGCACCCCCAGCTCCCTCAGCTGCTCCTCCCCACACTTGGGCTCTAGACCCTTCCCCAGCAGCTCCGTTGCCCTTCTCTGGCCACGCTCCAGCCCCTCAAGGGCCTTCTGGGAGGGAGGGGCCCAAACCTGCCCCCAGGATTGGAGGGGCAGCCTCCCCAGTGCCCAGCCCAGGGGGACGATCCCTGCCCTGCTCCTGCTGGCCACACCAGTGCTGGCCCAAGCCAGGATGCTGGTGGCCTTCTTGGCCCCCTGGGCACACGCTGCCTCCTCTCCAGCCGACTTGTCAGGAAAGATGATGAGTGTAGAAGGTATTTCTGCACAGAAACACCAATGATTAGCCCTCCTTTATTTCTCTCAGTCAGGCTTTCCCAGCTGCAGTCCCTGGTCAATACCTGTGTGACTTTTTTCTGGTTTTCTAGTATCATGCCCTGGGGCTCCTCTACCACCTGCGGAGGAACGATCGCCTGGCGGTGTCCAAGATGCTGAATAAGTTCACAAAGTCTGGGCTGAAGTCCCAGTTTGCTTACTGCATGCTGATCAGGATTGCCAGCAAGCTCCTGAAGGAGTCTGAAGAGAGGTGAGTGCTGGGCAGTGTGGGAATTCCAAAACCTAAGGATGGTTTGAGGGAAATAATAGGGAATTGGAATTATTTTTTTAAAGATTGTGAAAATCTGCACCCAGACAGATGTGTGATGTTCAAATAAAGCTGAGGAAGATGCAGAGCACTGGGCTGAACTGAGTGGTGGGATGGGTGGTGGTTGTGCAGCTGGGTTTGGATCTTTGTTTTGGCAGCAAACAACCCAAATTTAGGTGATGGGGGATCGAAACTGTAGAAGGATCTCTGGAGGGGTTTTGTGCTCTGTGGAGTCAGATGCATTTCAAATGCAATAAGGATCTGCCTGTCTTGTGGGGATATGAATAACAGGATCTTTCTGATTCTGGTCTCATACTAGCAGAAGAGAGTGAGGGTGTGCTCATGTGAGAAATGCCCCTCCTGGTGAAATTCTTTTATCAGTAGATACTTTTGTTCATGGTAGAATCACAGGATGGTTTGGGTTGGAAAGGGACCTTTCAGGGTCTTCTAGTCCAACCCCCTGCAGGGAGCAGGGACATCCCCAACTAGAGCAGGTTGCTCAGAGCCCTCAACCTCCCCTGGGATGGTGCCAGGGATGGGGCAGTGACCACCTCTCTGGGCAGCCTGGGACAGGGGCTCACCACCCTCAGGGCCAACAATTTCTCCCTTCTCTCTGGTCTAAATCTCCCTCTTTTATTTTCAAACCATCCCCCTTTGTCCTGTCCCAGCAAGCCCTGCTGAAAAGTCCCTCCCAGCTTCCTGCCAGGCCCCTGGCACCCCCCAGGCTGTGACACCTCTTCTCCCCTCAGCCACGAGAGTCCCCTCTTCGACTTCATCGAGAGCTGCCTGCGCAACAAGCACGAGATGGTGATTTATGAAGCTGCCTCTGCCATCATCCACCTCCCCAACTGCACGGCCAGGGAGCTGGCCCCCGCTGTGTCAGGTTGGTCAGAGAGCTCTTGGTGCTGCTGAGCAGAGCAGGGCAGGGGCAGCGTGAAAACACTGGGCTCAAACCCCAAATTTTCTGGTTGGCTGCAGGTTAGCGGGCTTGAGGATCCCTTTTTGGATCCCAAGCACATCAGCCCCTGTTGCATCAGAGCTCTAGAGAATGGGCACCAAGAAGTGGCCCAGGGTGATGTTTGTCTTTTCCAGCTGCAGGAATTTAGGGTGGGAGGGAAGGTGGAGAAGAACTTGCTGTGCCACAAGCAGCTGGGCAAACCACCTAGTTATTGATAGAAGGTGAAAAGTGGGAGGTTGTTTCTAACCTGCTTGTGAAGCTGGTGGCAAATTACAGCCTCTGCTCTGTGACATTTTGTTGTGACTTAATTCTCTTTGTTATTTTTTTGTCTTCTTTTCAGTGCTGCAGCTTTTCTGTAGTTCTCCCAAACCTGTCTTGAGATATGCAGCTGTAAGGACCCTTAATAAAGTGAGTGCTTCCAAAATCTTCTGAACAAGCAGAAATCTCTGGATGCCAGAGGAAGCCTAATTCAGTGCCTAATGGTGTGTTACCTAAAACAGAGTGACTGCTGTTGTGATTATTGTGTTTGCAAGCACTCTGTGCTGGAGAAATGGCTTTCCTGAGGAATCTTCTCTGCACTCCAGCTGTGTTTGCTCATTTCTGAACCACAAGCTGTAGGACAAGTCATGAGCTCTAAGGAAGCAGAATCTGGGATGTTTAATACTGTAGAAAATGGGACTGGGATGTGTGTGAGGGAAGCAACATTCTGATTTCTTGGTGCAAAACAGACTGGGACCTGTTGGAGCACGTCCAGGGGAAGCCCCAAAAGTGATCTACAGGTTGGAACCCCTCTGCTGGGAGGGCAGGCTGAGAGATTTGGGGTTGTTCAGCCTGGACAAGAGAAGACTCCAGGGAGACCTGCTGGTGGCCTTCAAGGGGCCTGTCAGAAAGCTGGGGACAGACTTTTGAGCAGGGGCTGTTGGGACAAGACAAGTGGGGATGGTTTGAAACTAAACCAGGAGCAATTTAGACTAGATGGAAGAAATTTTGGAATCGGAGGGTGTTGAGCCCCTGTCCCAGGCTGCCCAGAGAGGTGGTCACTGCCCCATCCCTGGCACCATCCCAGGGGAGGTTGGCCGGGGCTCTGAGCACCCTGCTCTAGTTGGGGATGTCCCAGCTGCCTGCAGGGGGTTGGACTGGATGGATTTGAAAGGTCCCTTCCCACCCAAAGCAATCTACAATTTCAAAGCTCCACACCACAACAGAATCACTTTGTGACTGTCAAAGCCACGAGCTGTAGAGTTGAGTTAGAGGAGCTCATTTGAGAGGTTGGAACAGAAGGACCTGAGCTTTACTTTCCCCTTTTCTCTGTTGAAAGCTTTGAGTTGTAGAACGTTCTCACCCTTGTGTCATGTTTTTGGAATCCTTTCCAGGTGGCCATGAAGCACCCCTCTGCAGTCACTGCCTGCAACCTGGACCTGGAGAACCTCATCACGGACTCGAACCGCAGCATCGCCACCCTCGCCATCACCACCCTGCTGAAGACTGGCTCTGAGAGCAGCGTGGACAGGCTCATGAAACAGATCTCCTCCTTCGTGTCAGAGATACCAGATGAGTTTAAGGTGTGCCACTGGAGGCCTTTGCTCTTTCCAGCTGCAGGTTTTTTCTCCCAGTCTTATTTTTATGAAGCTTTTCGCTTTGGGTAATCCAGTCTGAGAAAGTAAAAGCAGCTTGAAATTCAGGAGGTGTAATCCTCTGCTTTCCAGCTAAAATATACCCTGTCATTTCTTCCCACCATGCCCAGAAAGGGTAAATATTCTCAGTGCATGCCTCCTGTGCAATATCCTCCAAAACCTTCTTACATCTTTGAGAGGAAGATTTTTAACTCTTCTGACTGATTCTGTGCCACTCCAGTCTGACATTTATAGGAAATACCTCTACAGGAAATAGGAAATGGTGTGAACTGCAAATTTCTACCCATTTTTTCCAAGTTTGGTCCCTATGAACTCAGGTAATTTCATGGTTGAGGGTGGTAGTTTACTTCTACTCATCCCTTTGACACCATGGAGTTGCCTTGAGCACAGCACATCTACAAAGTCAATGGCCAAGAATGTACAGTGGTCTTAAGTTCTTTTTCTGAGAAAAGGAAATAAAGTGTTGGAGATTTCCAAGGGTTTTAATCCCATGATGTAACTCATGGTCAGGATTGATGCTGGGCAGAGCCAGCAAGTTCAGACAAACTTGTTGATACCCTTCTGCCCATCCACCACCTGATCTTTATCCTTGTCCAGGAATTTAATCTCTCCAGGTCATGACCAGAGCTGGAGGGCAGCCTGTATTGTTCATAGAACAATAAATGCACTTGTCTAATGTCCTCCTCTGTTCTGCAGGTGGTGGTAGTCCAGGCCATCAGTGCCTTGTGCCAGAAGTACCCTCGGAAGCACAGTGTCATGATGACCTTCCTCTCCAACATGCTCAGGGATGATGTACGTGGGAATCTTTGGGTGGTTCCTGGCAGAGAGCTCTGGGAGATGGTTGGAAGGGTTTCTTCTGTGGGTACAGTGTGAACATGGCAGTGGTGGGGTCTGACTGGTGACCAAGAATGATCCGAGGGCTGGAGCAGCTCTGCTGTGAGGACAGACTGAGAGAGTTGGGGCTGTTCAGTCTGGAGAAGAGAAGGCTCCAAGGGGACCTTATTGTGGCCTTCCAGTGCCTGAGAGGGGGCCTACAAGGAAGCTGGGGAGGGACTTTTGAGGCTATTGGGTAGTGACAGGACTAGGGGGAATGGGGCAAAGCTGGCAGTGGGCAGATTCAGGCTGGATGTGAGGAAGAAGTTCTTCCCCATGAGAGTGGTGAGACCCTGGAATGGGTGGCCCAGGGAGGGGGCTGAGGCCCCATCCCTGGGGGTCTTTAAGGCCAGGCTGGAGGAGGCTCTGGGCAGCCTGATCCAGTGGGAGGTGTCCCTGCTCATGGCAGAGGGATTGGAACTGGGGGATCCTTGTGGTCCCTTCCAGCCCTGACAGATTCTGATCTGTTTGAGCAGAGGACTTTAGAGCCCTATTGGCTCAAGGGTTGGACTTGATGATCTTGGAGGTCTCTTCCAACCTAAAGGATTCTATGATTGTAAGACCTTGTTCATCTCATGGGTCAGATCTGTCTGAAATATTCTTATGAATCAGAGCTGGAACACCAAAAGGTGCTCAGATGATGTCCCCTAACAGGTCAGGGTGGCTTGGGAAGGCCCCATTGGCTCATCCAGTGACACCACCTCTTGGCTGTCTGTGTACAAACACTTATTTTCTCCATGGGGAAGAAGAAACTGAGGCACGAGGGGAGCTGAGGAGCCCCACCCAGGGGCTGAGCTCTCCCTGCCAGCTCAGCAGCCTGGATTTTTCCTTCCCCAGGGTGGCTTTGAGTACAAGCGAGCCATTGTGGACTGCATCATCAGCATCATCGAGGAGAACCCTGAGAGCAAAGAGTCAGGCTTGGCTCACCTCTGCGAGTTCATTGAGGACTGTGAGCACACTGTGCTGGCCACAAAGATCCTGCATCTGCTGGGGAAGGAGGGGCCAAGGACCCCCTCCCCCTCCAAGTACATCCGTTTCATATTCAACAGGGTGGTGCTGGAGAACGAGGCCGTCAGGGCAGGTGAGCTCAGCTCAGAGCCTGGCTGGTTTCATGTCTCAGCTCTGCTGGAGATCCCAGGGTTGGAATTGGGTTTGAGAGGCAATGGTTGCTTCACAGAAGGGGAAGGTTTGGGTTTAGAGGGTAGGTGTTAGGCTAGATCTAAGGAAGGAATTAGTTACCCTCAGGGTGGTGAACCCAGAGAGGTGGTGGCTGCCCCATCCCTGGCACCATCCCAGGGGAGGTTGGACAAAGCTCTGAGCAACCTGCTCTAGTTGGGGCTGTCCCTGCTCCCTGCAGGGGGATAGGACTGTTAAAAACCTTAAAAGGTTCCTTCCAACCCAAAGCCCTCTATGATTTTGTGTATCAGCTGTGAAGGAGATTTTTATCCTGCAGTGGGTTTAAACTCCTCATCTCATCTTAGGAGCAGCACTTGGTCCTCCTGCTTCACAGGACATGACCTGTGTCATGTTCTCTCATGGGGAGACCTTCACACTCCTGTCAGCTCCTTGAAGCTGGAGCCAAGTGGGTGCTAGTCCCTTCTCCCAGGGAACAGACAAGAGGAAAGGGCCTCAAGTTGCCCCAGAGGAGGTTGAGGTTGGATTTTGGGAACAATTTCTTGCCCTGGAGGGCTGTGGAGGCCTGTGCCAGGCTGCCCAGGGCAGTGGTGGAGTCCCCACCCCTGGAGGGGTTTCCAAGCTGTGGGGATGTGGGGTGAGGGACACGGGGCAGTGGGGGGACCTTTAATGGTTGGACTCAATGACCTTAAAGGTCTCTTCCAACCAAAGGGACTCTCTGATTCTGTAGTGACACCACACACAGTGCTTAGAACCATGTCTGTGAGGATGTGTTCACGTGCAGCTCGAGCTCCTCTGACATCTCCCTGTTTTCTTCTCTAGCTGCTGTTAGTGCCCTAGCCAAGTTTGGTGCCCAGAATGAGAATCTCCTTCCCAGCATCTTGGTGCTTTTACAGAGGTGAGTGGCCCTGGCTGTGCTCGTGCTGAGCTGGTTGGTGACACTGGGCAGTCAGACCAGGTCATCAGGGCTGTCACTACCTACCAGTGGAGGAGCTGGGAGATGATTGTCTTCCACTTGTCCTGGCTGGAGGGAGTGTAGTGTGGGTGGAGATCAGGAAAGATGGGATCAGACATGAAAATGTGACAGTAATGTGGTCAGAGAGAGAATCTCTCCTATAAACCAGCTGCTGTAATTGAAAAATGAGGTGAATACTTGAGCATGTGGGCATCTCTTCAGTCTGAAGTGGGACACACAGAACCATTG